GGTTAGGGGAGGAAGGATAAAGAACACTCCAGACAGAGAGGACCGACAGTGCAAATACATTGAGATGGAAGAGGACGTATAATAATGTGTCAGGTACAGCCAGTCACTATTGCTGGACAATAGACGTAGGGGAAAGTAAAGAGACTGAAAAGATAGGGAAAAGGTCAGATTTTGAACAGAATTTAAATGCCAAAAAGTGGAGGTTATATTTAATCCTTGGAGCAATAGAAAGCCATTGAAGTTTAATGACTAGAAGGATAATATGATCATATGACAATATGGAAGTTGAGGACAGAATATATTGGAGTGAGAAGAGACTTGAGGCAGGAGGATCTGAACTAAGGCAGTGGCTTGGAAGTGGGGAAAGGGGGACATATATATATATAAGAGGAGTGGGTAAAAAGTAGGAGTCAAGTAGGTCACCAAGATTTCAAACCTGTATGCCTGGAACAACTGTTGCTATCCCTGACAGTAACAAGGAGGTTCTGAAGAGGAGTACATTTGTTTAATAGGTATTGTAGTACGGGACTGGATCTCAGGAGAGAAAAGAGGACTGATTGGCTAGATTTGAGAATCATCTGCATGAAGACAATAATTGAGCTCTTCAGAGCCGATGAGAATGCCAATTAAGAGAGTATAGAGAGAAAGAGAAGAAAGTCCAGGACAGAACCTTGGAACAGCCTCAGTAACTGAATGAAGCACAGTTCAAGAAGCAAAGAAGACTAGGAAGGCACTGTCAAATAGGTAGGCTAAGAACTGATAGAAAGCAGACACCAGAACACCCAGAGAGAGGGTATCCAGGAGGAAAGTGGTCAATAGTATCGAATGCTGTGTAAACAGCCAGAAGGATGAGCAGAGAGAGAGTCATTAGATTTGACAATTAGGAGATCATTTGTAATTTGGGGGAGAGCAGGTTCAGTTGAATGATGAGATTAGAAACCAGAGCGTAAAGTTTAGAAGAGATTGAAAGAGTGGTGGGGACGTGGAAGATAGATAGATGGCTTCTTCAAGTTTAGATAAGAAGGAAAGAAGAGATATGAGAGTTTTTTTAGGGTGGGAGAGACTTGACCATGTTTGTCAGCAGCAGGGAAGGAGTGAGTAGGTTGGGAAAGATGAGAGAGAGACAGAAACAGAGAGACAGAGAGAGAAAGAAGGAGGAGGAGGAGAAGATAGGGAGGGAGAAACAGAATAATAGTGGGTACAGTGTGCCAGGAAAAGTTGGGAGGGAGTGGGATCAAAGGTATACATGGAAGAGGAGAGAGAACCTAGAGCACTGTGGGGGAGTTGGATAGGGAGTTCAGAATATTCTGAAAGTCCCAGTAAGACCCTTAAGAATTGTTATCTTCAGTTAATTTTTGTCCTTCTTTTTCTAAGCTATTGACTCTCTCTTTCACACCTCTCATTTCTTTTTCCAATTTTTCTTCTACCTCTCTTATTTGACTTTTTAAATCGTTCTTGAGCTCTTCCAAGGAGGCTTTTTGGGCTTCAGACCCGTTCATATTCCCTTTTGAGGTTTCAGATGTGGTTTATTGACAATGTTGTCCTCTTCAGAATTTCTGCCTTCATCTTCACTGCTCCCATAATAAGAATCTATGGTACCTTTCCTTTTGCTCATAGTGTTTGCTTATTTCCTGGCCTTTAAAAAGATTGAGCTCTCCTGCTGGGGAGCAGGGGGCACTGACCCAAGCTTCTTGTGTTGGGAGCCTAGGGCCTGGCCACTGGCTTTGTGTGCTGGGGCCTCAACTGCTGGCGGTTGGAGGCTGTAGAGTTCTTGCAGCTTACCTGGTGTTGGGCTGAAATCAGCAACACTGGAACTCTAGGGGTAGGATTGGGTAGTCTGACCTTTTGAGGTTGCCTGCTAATCCCGGCCTTTCCTTTCACTTTCTTTGGCTCCTTGTAGATGGATTTTTTGCTGCTGTGGGATGTTTTTCCATCTGGGGCTTTCCCCCTTGGAGTTGCCCTTCCCAGAGTTTTGCTGAGGCACTGGGAGACTGGACTGCCCTGGAAGCCCATGGCACGTGGTGGTTTTCTGAGTTGGTTTCCATTGGTTCCCCTGCCTGTACTGGGGCACTCGGGGGTCCAGGTGTTGGTGCTTGCCCGCTCTACCACCTGGGGTTCAGGATCTCCCCTTGGTATGCTGAGGTGGGGCTTTCCACTAGCTTTCCGGGATGCCTCCTGTTCTGTACCCTCCCCCTCCTCCAGGGCAAGAGGGGCCTTTCCCATTAATCCCTCAAGCTTCCTGGGCTACTGGACTGCTGCATTCCATCTTTCTGCTTGTTCAGCTGCTCCAGGTTTTTCCTGGGGCGATATTTTCTGGGCTTTCAGAGGTTGATAAGAGACAATGACAGCAACGTACTTCTTACTCTGCCATCTTGGCTCCCAAAGCCAATAAGAATTGTAAAATACAAAGTATGCCACCAAAAAAACCAAACAAAATAAAGCCATTCAATTAAATTTCCGTGTGTGTGTGTGTGTGTGTGTGCGCGTGCGCACACCTACACACACACACACACACATACACACACATTTCAGCAGAGAAACCCTGCTGTGCTACCTTCTTAAAAATCTGGAAACAAACTCTCCTATGTAACTGCATAATATGAAAAAGATTTGAATTTCTTTCCATATTTGTGGGGCTTTTAAAAGTGGTTCAGGTAATGCAGACTAAATATGTTTTAGAAAGGAGCAGGTTATAGTCCTTGACAGAAAAGGCTTAGGGGTATGAAAGAGGAAAATATACTGAACCCCTTTAAACATCTCACAGTCCTTTATTTTCCCATTCTATACTCAAGTATAATTATTTTACTTTACATTATACATTTAATTCAATTTTGCCTCTACCTTCCAGAAAAGGGGGGAACGGGAAGAAGGGGGGCCTACAACATAAACAATATTAAATAACAGAATCATGCATTTTAGTTGAGTGCTTGTGCTGTAGATATAAACACTATTCAAGAATTCACTGAGGTGCTCAGGACCCCAGGAAAAGAGGTTCCCCGACCCTGCCAGGTCCTGCCTGAAGACACTGGAGTTTTAGTTGGGGCAATGAGGGAAAGGCAGAAGGGACCAGGATAGAGAGTATTTTCTGACATGTTAGCTGGAAAACTAAAATGTTAACACCACCGAATGACATGTATATGTAAACACACACACACACACACACACAGCATTTGAAAAGTTGCAAAGATTTGGTTTTCTTCCTCTTGAATTGTGTTTAATTAAGAGACACTAGTAAAATATGAACCTCTTTTTAAGGACTGGTGGCCATAGCCATGAAAAATGTCTGATTCGTCCATTTAAGAATTTTACCATCTACCAAAATGCAGTATGGGATTTGGGAACATATGGTTATGTGGACACCTGCAAACTTATCCCCATATGAATGTGTTTGAAGAGGGGAAGTGGAGCATTCCTACAGCCAAACTCATCATATTTCCCTTCATACCAGCTTCCTTATTATTCTCAGTGGTATCATCATTTTCCTACTCTTCACTCTTTCTTCGTTCTATTCCCTCACATTCAATCAGTCACTAAGCTCTGCTTACTCTTCCTATGTAGTGTCTCTCATATCCATCCTTTCCTTTGTATTTCCTTGGCTACCACCCTAGTCCAGGCCTTTACTGCCTCATTCCTGGACTATTTCAATAGCCTCCTAAATGACCCCCCTTCCTTCACTCTTGATACACCCTGTATGCCACTAACAAATTAATCTTTGTTAAAATACCCCTCTCATCATGTCACTCTGCCGCTCAGAAAATCCTTCTTTGATTTCCCCTTACTTATAGGGTAATGTCCAAATGCGTTTGCATTCAAGGCCTTCACCTAACAACTGATTCTGATTTTCCACTTCTCCCCCACTTTCGCCAGACTAAACATACATGTGCATCCCCTCTTTTCTTAGTCATTTTCCTATCCTTTAAACTCTACTGCTTTATTCTTTTTTTAACCACCTTACCATGATCTAGGGCAGGTAGGCTGTACAGTGGATAAAGTGCCAGGCCTAGAGTCAGGAAAAACTGAGTTCAAATCCAGCCTCAGATACTTACTAGCTATATGACCCTGGACAAGTCACTTAACCTCTGTTTGCTTCCATTTCCTCAAATGTAAAATGTAAATAATAATAGTACCTACCTCATAGATTTGTTATGAGGCTCAAATGAGAGTATTTGTAAAGTGCTTACGTGGCACATAGTAGGTGCTATATAAATGCTGTTGTTGATTGATGACGTTCTCTTTCTTTAAGGATCAAATTAAATTTTACCTCTTCCATTAGGCCTTCTTTACCTAAAAGGTAGTGATCACTACCTAAAGATATTGATCCCTCTAATGGCCATCTTGTCTATCAGATTTTAACCATACCTCCTGACAAAATTCACCTACCCTTGATCTACCCTTGGTCCTTATTCATTATTGGTTCAGTTTTCAGTATCCTGTTGGTCAGGTCTAATCAGCATTCTCCCTCTTAAATCAAAAAACTATTAGAGATTAGAAACTGGATCTGTTTAATTTTTTTATAAAACATATAGCATAGTCCCCATGTAGTTCAGACAAATATTTTCGATTGATGCTAATTCCAAGACAGGTAGCATTGTAACTTGGTATCTGGATGATATTACAATACTTTTTTATAAATGTGTAGGAAACGTTTCTTGGTCAAAATACTACTTTTTGCCACAAGTTAGGCAATAGTGCTTCAAAAAGCATTGTGAGGTTGCTTTAGCTATCAACAGGCACTAATAGAATGATGGCAAATTTTTGGCTTTCTCTAAATTCATTCAAGATTATTTTTTATTGTCACCAACCATCAGAAAGAATTAAAACTGTTACTGGCACCAGTACTGAAGACAAAAATGGGATATAAAGAAAGCAAAGATAAACAAACATGCCGTGTTAGAGTAGACATTAGTGGGTGTTGTCAAAACTCTTGCCCTGGATATCTCTAAAATGTTTGGACTGTGCACTCACTCATTTTCTTTTATTTTCCTCTGGTGACGTGACAGGTCAAAGACTTCATAAATTCAGAGCTCCTAGCACAGTTATATTCCTCAGAGGACCAAAACACTTTGATGGAAGAGTCTGCTGAGCAGGCTCAGCACCGTGACGAGATGCTTCGGATGTACCAAGCCCTTAAGGAAGCCCTTGTGATTATCGGTGATATCAACAGTGCCACTGTGTCTACTCCTGCACCTCCTCCTGTGGATGACTCCTGGCTACAGCATTCTCGTAGGTAAGGAAGTAGGACCCTGTAGGAAGGAACCCTGAATCCCAGGTTGTTTTTAAACACCACCTGCTGAAATGTCCAATGTGTCATGCTGCATTCCCAAGAAACAATACCTACTATTCTTGCTGTTATAAGTAGTTACTCTATTTCAGCCAAGCACTTGCTAAGTTTTAACTTACTTATCTTTGTGGGCCAAATAAAGGGGAGTCTGTGTTTCAATTTCAGTAGTCAGTGTTTCCCATTTCTCTTTTTGTTTATTTCTCAGTACTTTAGCTGCTTTGATTTGAAGCACATTTGCTATACTTTGAAAAGATGATATTTTATCTATGCCTTTCATTTTCATGTGATAGTATCTAGTACATGTACAGAGAACCATGAGGTTTGCAGAGTACTTTACATCTGTTAAGTCATTTGTTCCTCATAACTACCCTGTGAAGCAAGTGCTTTTGTGGTCCCCATTTGACCGACGAAGAAACAGATCTAGAGAGGTCAAAGGACTGGTTCACAGTCACACAGTTAGTGAGTGTCTGAGGAGGATTCAAGCTCAGATCTTCCTGACTGCTACTCCAGCACTTTAGTCACTGCATCACCCTTCACCGCAAGTCATTTCCAGATATGACATCACTCACCAAATAGTTACGCAAAACCCACAGATACAGCTACCGGGTCTGAAAGCCTGTGTGACGTTTTTTACGGCCACAGTTCTCCATCTGTCCAAAGAAAGGAAAGAGATGTATTTCCTTTACCTGATGTGAGACCAACATTGGTTATTATAATTTATCAGCATTCACTTTTATTTTCACATTCTTTCCATTTACCTCGTAGTTGTGTCCTTTTTTTTCAGGATTCTTTTCACTTCATTCTGTATTAGTTCATTCAAGTCTTCTCATGCTTCTCTAAATTGCTCACATTCATTATTGCTTATGGTACTATAATATTCCATTACATTAATCTACCACAATTTATTTAATCATTTCCTAATCCACATTATTTTCACTTTTTTGCTACCACAAAACTCAGACTTTTAATACTTCTAAAGAATTTCAATATGTACCTTAACTCTGAGCCAATGTGCCATCCTGAATAGAATTCTAAATAGACTATCAATGAATTTCAGCATAATTTAGTATATCAGTCAGATTTTTAGTGATATATGTGTTTGTACTGAGGAAGGCTTAGAATTTATAGCACCATTAAAGCCATTAATAATAATTAGAAATAATAATACTGCTAAATGTAAAGGAAACAATGGATTATCAACTTTTCTTAATTTCTCTTGTTCTTCTGGACTAATTCACTCAATCATCAATCAATTAACCAAAGCACTTTTGGGGGCAGCTAGGTTGTACAGTGGATAGAACACCAGCCCTGAAGTCAGGAGGACCTGAGTTCAAATTCAGCCTCAAACTAAACACTGGATACTTACTAGCTGTGTGACCCTGGACAAGTCACTTAACCCCAATTGCCTTAAAAAAAAAAAGCACTTCTTAAAGCATTTACTGCCTGCCAGTACTTAAATTTATAAGCTTGGTATATATGAGATAACAAAAATGCACCCCCCTGCCTTCAAGGAATGCCATTCTAACGGGGGAGACAACATGTAAATAAAGAGGTACATATAAGAAATATACAGAGTAGATAGAAGGTAGCCTTAGAGATAAAAACACTAGCAACTGGGGGCGGGGGGGGGGGGAAGGAAAGGGCCTCCTGAGGGAAATGACACTTGAGTTTCAAGAAGGCAAGGATACTAAAAAAATTAATTAAAAAATAAAAAACAATTTGTAAAAAGGAGGCAGGGATCCTAAGAGATGCAGGTTGGGAGAAAGAGCATTCCAGTCATGAGAGGGCAGCCAGTACAAAGGCTGGGAGATGGGAGATGGAGCATCGTGTAGGAGGAACAGCAAGCAGGACAATATGGCTGAACTGTAGAGTAGGAGAAGTGGACTAATGAGTAGAAAACGAAATTAAGTGTGGGGAGTGACCAGTTAGTTAAGAAGACCACGTCCAGGGGGCAGCGAGGTGGCGCAGGGGATAGAGCGCCGGCCCTGAGTTCAGATCCAGCCTCAGACCCAACACTTGACACTCACTAGACGTGTTACCTGGGGCAAGTCACAGCCCCACTGCCTAGCAAAACAAAACAAGAAGAGCGTGTCTGAAAAAATATTTGGATTTCTAGATGATGACTGAAAACATAGCAGTGACAAACTTCCGGTCAGGCATGGAGTGATTGCTGGCAAAATAACAATAACAATAACAATAATAATAATAATAATTTCCCTGGAGTCTTGCAAATCTAATAAAAAAAACCCTTTAAATTGAAAGGGAAGGAGAAGAGAAAACTGCCTCTGCCTATACCAAACTAGAAATCATAGAGCGGCTGCAATGCTGCAAGAATATTAATAAAGATACCCAAAAGTTATGGGAGATGAAAGAAAAGCAGTGATTCAGTCGGGCAATGGATCTGTTAAGAAGAATCTATGGCGCACTCCCAGGTGCCAGGCACTGCGCTAAGGATAAAAACAATCCCCCCTCAAGGAGCTCATATTTGGTCATATAATATGTGGTATGTTATCTGTTCCATGCATGTAAGTCTCATCTCCTCAAAGAGGTGATAAAACCAATGAGGATAGGGAGCTCATATTCCAGTGGGGGAAATGACAGGTGTAATGACCTGTGTAATATGTGATATATACTAAGTGGAAGATGGTCTCAGTTAGAAGGCATTATCAGGTAGAAGAGAGGATGTAGGGAAGAAAAGAAAGTTTTCCTGAAAGAGATAGGATTTGAGCTATCTTGAAGGTTGCCAGGAAGCTAAGTCAAGGCAACAACCATTTATTAAACACCTACTGTGTTTACTGCACTGTGCCAAAGAGCTTAAGTGAAGGAAAGTGAGGAGGAAGAGCCTTCCAGGCATGGGGGACTGCCAGTCAAAAGATATGGAGTAATAAATATGGATGTCTCTGTCCTCAGATATCTGTACATAAATATACAGCTTAAGGGTTATCAGCAAGATGAAGTAGATATCCTAAGGGAAGGAGCAAATTTGATTTCATAGGGATTACAAAAATTTGTGGGATGAGACCCAGACCTGAAAGAGTGGGGATACCTTATTTAAAAGGAAAAGTATAGGTTAAAAATTGAGGAAAGTGCCAAATGGCATTACATGTGAATGGTTAGTATAAGGTATAAGATATGCTCATGTGAGGAAATCCAAGGATAAATGGGGACACATGGTAGAGAAGACCTGGTTGAAGAGCCGCCGAGAAAGAAACAGACGTGATATTGTTATCCCACTCTGGCAGAGAACAGCTGACTGAGAAAGAGCGACACAAGAGTGTCCAAACACATGAAACTGTCATTTCACAGCTGAGGGGCCTGGCAATGAGGCATGATAGAGAGGCAGTAAGGGATTTCAGATATCCAGACATTTGCTGGAGCTCTCCCCATCCTGAACAGAGCAACTATGAATTTTATAACCTGCCTTAAGAATGATTTTACCATTCTCTACTCCAGATTAATGCATCCAATTCCTTCAACTGATCCTCATATGATATAGCCTCAAGACTCTTCACCTCTCTGATTTCCTTCCATTAAATGCCATCTAGCTTATCAGTAATATCCTTTGTAGACCCTGGTTCCCAGAATTGAAAAAAATCAATTAATAAACATTTATCTAGGGCCTACTATATGCCAGACACTGTGCTAAGTGCTGGGGATACAAAAAAAAAAAAAGAGGCAAAAGACAACCCCTGCCCTCAAGAAGCTTGCAATTTAATGGGAGAGAGGGCATACAAACAAATATATACAAAACAAGCTATATACAGGTTAACAGAGGGAAAGCACTAGGATTAGGAGGGATTGTGAAAGGCTTCCTGTAGGTAAGGCTTTAGTTGAGACTTAAAGGAAGCCAGGGAGGTCAGTTGGAGTAGAGGAGGGAGAGTGTTCTAGGCATGGGAGACAGCCAGAGAAAATGCCTGAAGTCAAGAGATGGAGGGTCTTGTTCATGGAACAGCCAGGATGTCACTGGATCAAAAAGTATGTAGTAGGAAGTAAGGTATCAGGAGACTGGAAAGGTAATGAAGGGCTTTGAATGTCAAATAGAGCATTTTATATTTGATCCTGGAGGCACTTCATTGGAGGCAGGGTGATCAGGGAGAAGGGAGGTGACATGATTGGATCTGAGCTTTAGGAAAATCACTTGGGTGGCCGAATGGAGGATGGATTGGAGTAGGGAAAGACTTGAGGCTGCAGGCTATTGCAATAATCCAGATATGAGGTGATAAGGGCCTGCGCTACAGTGGCAACAGTGTCAGAGGAAAGAAGGAGGGGTATTTGAGAGATGCTTTAAAGGTAAAATTGGCAGGCATTGGCAAAAGATTGGATGGGGAAGGGAGGTCAGAGTAAGTGAGGAATCCTGGATGACTCCTGGATTGTGAGCCAGGGACATTGGGAAGATGGTGTTACCCTCCAGCGTACTAGGAAAGAGAGGAGGGGGAGAAATCTTAGAGAGAAAGATTAACAGGAAAGTTCCATTTTGGACACGTTAAGTGTAAGATGTCTATTGGACATCCAAAATGAGATGTCTGAAAGGCAAGTGAAGATGCAAGACTGGAGGTTAGCAAAGCTCCAGGAGAGATGTAATAAGGGCAGAGTGCAGGACGACTATCACTTCCCTCTTCCTGTAAGCCATACCACTCTTAATGTAGCCCAAGATTGCAGCAGCTTGTTTGGCTGTGACAGCATACCACTGACCCATATGGAGTATGCAGTCCATTAAAAGGCTCGGGTTGTTTTCAGAAAAACAGTTGCCTAAGTAGACTCCTCTCACTTTGTACTTGGGAACCTAATTTTTGTACCCAGGTATAAAACTTTACATTTATCCCTATTAGATTTCCTATTATTAGATCCAGTCCAATACTGTAACCTGCCAAAATACTTTAGATACAGAATCTGCCCCTCAGTGTGCCAACTCTCTCTTCCCAACTTTGTGTCAGCTGCCAATTTGATGCCTGGTGATGTAACAGATAAAAATATTAAGCCACAAAGGACCAAGCACAGATCTCTAGGGTCCTCCACTGGGAACATTCTGTCACTTTGATATGGAATCATTAACAACCAGTTCTGAATCCATCTGATCAGATTATTGTCCATCCCATATCTCTCTGTCTTCTCCATGGGAATGGGATGAGATCCTGTGTCAAGAACCTTACTAAAATCTAGGTGATCTATAGCCACTGTATTCCCCTCATCTCCAAGTTTAGTAATCCTATCAAGAAATGAAGGGAAGTGTGTTTGGCATGATCTGTCTTGAGAAAGCCAAAACTGGCCCTCTGTAAGCACTACATCATTATCTGGTTGTTCACTCACCTTTTCTGTCATGATCTATTCTAGTATTCTTCCCAGAACCAAAGTTAAGCTCACAGGCCTGAGATATACAGATTGTTTCTTCCCCTTGTTTTGAAAATCAGACAATCTGCCCTTCACCCACTTTGTTGTATCTCAGTCACACAGGCCAGTCTATCAGGAGTTGGAGATGCAGAGTTCACGTGGGCCGGGGGACTTGAATTCATCAAAGTCGGCTAAGTCTGTTCTTTTACTGTCTCCGTGGCTCCACTGGCTCCATTAGTTACTCTGGTTCTCCCATCTCTCAGACAAAGGTCCTCCTCCTGGGCAGAGAAAAGAGAAGCAAAGAGTTGAGCAGCTCTGTCTTCTCTCTGCTGTCAGTCACTCTTATCCCATCCACCCCATCCACCACAGCCTCATCCTCGCTCTAAGCATCTTCTTTCTCCTGGCATGGCCAGTGTAACTAGTAATTGTTGCTGCCAGCTGGCAACAGGTGCATTTTTAGAGTGGAAAGCACCAGGAGAAGAATGAAGTGGTCACTCTTGTTCCTCTCCCCACCTTAGGAAGTTGGGCAAAACAGATTCTTTCCAAATTATAGCTCTCAACTCCCACTGGGCATCTCAGGAGAGACTCTGCCTTGATCTGTTTCTCTATATCTCTCTTTATATCTGAGACTAAAGCTTCACTGAGATGCTTGTGCTATAACTAAGCCACCTGAATCCAGCTCACCAATGAAGCCGAGGAGGGCTTGGGCCCAAGTTACAGGGTTTATTTATCTCTGCTACTTAGGAGTTAAAAGAATTATTTTTTAAAATAAAAATCATAAAACTCTATCCCAGTTTTCTTAGCCCCCAGCTAGAGAAAAAAACTCTAGTGTTCTTAGTAGAGATTTAAACCTTTGACTGCTTCAGTCCCGTGTATAGCCAACTAGTTACGGGTGTTCTCCATGTCAGTCTCCCTCCCCCTACCACGTGAAATTCATTAAAAGATATGAGTCACATATCACCTATGACTGGTGTTAGTTTATAGGTGACAAAACCAGGAAAGAAAAGCAGCTTAAAGAAATAAAGAAAATGATGCAAAAAGTGCCTGTCACATATAGGCCCTGGGGAAGGGAGTTACACTTCACTTCCCTTGCACTGATCCCAAAGAGAGACCACCATCAGTCACATCAGCCTATACTGGCCAACTCCATCAAAGTTCATTGTTCCAAAAAGTGGGCCATTGGAGCTAAACTTGCAACACTCAGACTGTGCAGTCTGAGTTCATGTATTTCCAACCAAATGCCTGTTTCACTCCCTCCCCTCCTCCCCTCCCCCTCTCACCCCTTGCAATATCATACCATTGGTGCCAACCGCTCCGGTGTCGGCCAAAGTCAGGTGTCTCCCTCTGGGCGCACAACCCAGCTTTAAACTCCCTACATGGCAGAACTCTGTCCCACTCCCTGTGTTTATAATACTTTAGTCTCAGTCCCTCCCAAGGCAGGAAGAGCATGTTATCTGTGCTGAACTACAATTCCCAGAATTCACTGTTAATTTTCAGAAATTGGTTACAATAAAAACAAAAGCAACCCTTGTGTTGTTCCTGGCATCACTGATTAGCCACAGCTTATTCTGACCTTTGGAATTCATGGGACCACTTTATAGGACTGCATCATGCTCTTATATTCATCCTCTTGCTTTCATTGTCTACACATTTCTCTTTTAAATATAAGCTGGTTCATGAGTTCCCTGGGCATGCACACATTTAGGCAAACCCCATTTTAACTGACTGGAATTATTTCCATTTGTTTCTTTAAAACTTAATTCTTGAACATCTCCTACCCCTCCTGGGCTGACTTTCTCTTGAACATTTTACTGCATGAATCCCTACTATTCTTTCCTGTAAAGCCTTCGAAATAAACTATCACAAAACCTAGAGTGTATGTCAGATTAAGCCTAAATTTGCTCTTCTCTGTTGGCGAGCTTGAAGGGTGAGTAGTCAGTTTCCCTGCAGAGTTCCCATTAGCTCAACCCTAGCAACCAATAACCCCTCTCCCTGTCAGTGAAATTTAGACCCAAAGTAGAATTTCCCCTTGTTGCTTCCTCCACTTGAGGAAGGATAAAATTACTGAGACAAGTTAAGAAGTTATTGTTTCCTCTGATTATGGCTTTCAGGAAAAGGAGGAGGAGGAAGAAGAAGAAGAAGAAGGAGAAGAAAAGGAGTAGAGGAGGAGAAGGAGGAGGGAGAGAGAAAAGGAGAAAGAAGAGAGGAAGGGAAGGGGTAAAAGAGATAGACAGAGAGATTGAGACAGAGAGAGGGCACTCCAGCAGTCTGGATAATGGAAACCCCCTATTTCCTTAAAACAAGTATATCACGTCCCAGTGCTAGGTTTGTTATGTTTCCCAGACTCCTCATATATTTCTTCTTTTTGTTCAAATAGTCTTATTATGTGTTCCAACAACAAAATAATTTATTTCTCCCTCCACTGACTTTCATTCAAATATTCTGTCATTCTGCCACCTTGTTTCTGGATTTTCTCACAAGGAACCTTCATTAAGAATAAGATCATGCCATATTAACCACATATGCTATTTTTTTACAAGATTACTAGATTGATAAATTTGAAGAATGTTTAATTATATAGTTTACCTAGATTTTAGCAAGCCATTTTAGCAGAGTCTCTCGTGATATTCTTGTTATTAAAAAAAAAGATGCAAAAGTGTGCGCTAGGTATCCATATAATTAAGTGAATTTTGAAACAGTGAATGTGCATACCTGATGAATAGTGAATAGCTGCTCATTCCAAACTTGGCTCCGCCAAGGAAATCTGACACTACTTCCTAACCTCTACCCCAGTGGGGGAATTTTTGGTATGGCAAAAGGAAAAAATTCTTGATAACTAAAATTATCCAAAAATGGAATATGTTGCCTGCCATAGGAGTTCAAGTAAATAACGATGGATGATCACTTCTTGCGTTGTTCAGATTTGGCTTTGTATATATCCTTTGAGATCCCTTCCAACTCTGAAATGTTATGGCCCTGTAATATTAGGTCTTACAGATGGCCCCATTTGTCTAGCCTAAAATTCTGAGGTCCCCTAGCCAAGGATTGATTAAATTGTCTTAGGTCTCTCCTGTGAAAAGAAAACTAACCCATTTCCCCTCCTCATATTTCCTAGATCACACATGTGGTTTTTGGTGGAGAACATAGCAATAATGGGAATTGTCTTGTTTTTTTTATCAAAGGTCTTTTTTAAGTTGCCCATTATATCCCTAAAATTTGAAAGCATAAAAATCTAGAATTCTCTTGCCAGCTGAATTTTTAACAAATAACCAACCAAGCAAAAGTGAACTTTAAATAGAAAGTACAGAATTTATTATACTTCTTTAGGCTCATGTTGCTGTGCATGACTGCTAATTTAATGAATGGTGAGCTAATGTCCTCAGAGTGATTTTTTTCTCCAAAGTGTTTTTGTCTTTAATATCCATAATAATAACTAATATTTGTATAATTATGTAAGTAATTTACATATATTATATAATTTGATCCTCCCAACAATCCTGTGAAAGAGATGAAATTATTACTACCATTCTACAAATGAAGAAACTAAATCTGAGTTTGGTAATTTGCCTAGGGTTACACATCCAGTAAATATGTGAGGCAGGTCTTCCTGGAACTCTATACATTAATTGACCTTGCTATTATACTGAGGTATTGGGAAGAGGCTAGAAAGAACATAATTTCAAATTACTAGGAAATAATTCAGTATTTAATAAGAATTGTTAGGAAAACTTGAAAGTGGTCTGGCAGAAATTATTCATAGAGCATAGATCATCTTATACCATACTCCACAATAAATTCAAAAGGAATATGTGATTTTAATATTAAAGATGGTATAAAAAATTAGAAGTGAAACTGATCATGTACTTTCATAAATCTGGTTAAGAAATATATTTTTAACCAAAGGATAGCATCAATTGCAAAAGATAAAATAAATAACTTTGATTACATGAAATTAAAAAAAAAAAACTTTGGCACAAAATTATTGTACCTAGAATGAGAAACAAATCTTTGTATTATATTTAATGGATGAGTTTGGTACCCAAGATATGCAAAAAAACTAACAGAAACATATAAGACCAAACACCATTCCCTAATATTCAAAGTATACAAATAGTTTTCAAAAGAAAAATTGCATACTATTAAAAACCATATGAAAGAATGCTTCAAATCACTAATAGTAAGAGAAAGGCAAATAAAAACAAACCTCATACCCAACAAACTGGCAAAGACTACAAAAGCATGAAGTCAATGTGGGAGGCACTGCAGGAAGACAGGCATTGTTGGTGGAACTGGGAATTCATGAGATCATTTTTTTTCTTTTTGCTTTTTGGTGAGGCAATTGGAGTTAAGTGACTTTTGCCAAGGGTCACACAGCTAGTAAGTGTCAAGTATCTGAGGCCGGATTTGAACCTAGGTCCCCTTGACTCCAAGGCCAGAGCTCTATCCACTGTGCCACCTAGCTGCCCCCGTAAGATCATTTTGAAAAATAATTTGAAACTATGCAAATAAAGTGACTAAAATATTCACACCTTTTGACCCAGAGATTCCACCCACAGACAAAAAGTGTCCATATGCCCCAAAAATACTTATAGCAGCACTTTTAATGATAACAAAGACTTAGAAACAAAGTAGATATCCATCAATTGGAGAATGTCTAAACAAATTATGATACCTGAGTTGATGCAATATTACTGTGTTGTAATAAATGCTGACTATAATAAATACAAAGAAGTATAGAACAATTTATATAACATGACACAAAATAGGTAAAGCTAAGAAAACATATACATAAAGACTATAACTATGTAAATGGAAAGAACAATAATCACAAAACAATCAATGATGAATATTGAAAAATTGCAAAAAATTCGCTTGCCCCCCAAAAAGAAATAGAAGACACTCCCACTCCTTTGTAGTCAGTCAGTAAACATTTATTAAATACCAACTATGTGCCAAACATTGTGCAAAGTGCTGAGGATACAAAGAAAGACAGTTTGTGCTCTCCAAGAGTTCACCAGACACTGCCTGGAGCAGGGATGTGAAGGGTCTTATTTGAGGGAAAGTGAAGGAGGCTAGTGGATGGAAGAGTACCTGAGGGAAAGGTGTAAGGTGTAAGAAAACTGGAATGATGGGGGTTGGGGGAAGCTTGGTCATGAAGGACTTTGAATGCCAAACAGAGGATTTCATATTTGAAGGTGAAGTTTAGTGAGTAGAGGAGTCACGTAGTCAGACCTGCCCATAACACCTGAGTAGAGGATAGACTGGAATGGGGAGAGCCTTGGCAGGCACACCCACCAGCAGCTGTTAGAATAGTCCAAGAGTGAGGGATGAGGGCCCATGTCAAAGTGGTGGCAATATCAGAGGAGAGGAGGAGGTATATTAGAGAGATGTTATAAAGGTAAAATCAATAAGCCTTGGAGACAGATTGGTGAAGAGTTGAGGATGAATTTAGATTGGGAGCCTAGTTAGTACATTGAATATGATGTCAATTTTTTTCCTATGCATTAATTTTGTTTACATACTTTCTCCTCTTTTCCTTTTTAAAAATATTCATTATTGGGGCAGCTAGGTGGCACAGTGGATAGAGCACCGGCCCTGGAGTCGGGAGGACCTGAGTTCAAATTCAGCCTCAGATACATAATACTTCCTGGCTGTGTAACTCTGGGCAAGTCACTTAACCCCAATTGCCTCACTAAAAAAAAATAAAAATAAAAATAAAATAAAATATTCATTATTATACAGGATGGCTGTCTGGGAGGGAAGAAAGGATATATGGGAAAATTTAGGTAAAGTAAGAACAAAAGTTAGCAATAAAAGTTAATTTTTTTTAGCTTTTTTTTGTTTGTTTAGGCAATGGGGTTAAGTGACTTGCCCAGGGTCACACAGCTAGTAAGTATTATGTGTCTGAGGCCGGATTTGAACTCAGGTCCTCCTGAATCCAGGGCCAGTGCTCTATCCACTGTGCCACCTAGCTACTCCTAAAAGTTAATTTTTAAAAGAATTATGAAAAAGAAGATGATTTAAGCAGCACAAATGTGATAGTGTCTAGGTACCTCAATAATCTTCAACAAATAATAACGAGATATGAAAAAACTCTAATATGGTCAGAAAGTAGGAATATGTAAACTGTTTGTCTTCTGTGCCTCAGATCACCCCCTCCAAGCCCTACAAACCAAAGGAGACCAACATTAAATGCTCCTCCAACCAGACCCACATCAGGCCGAGGACCTGCTCCAGCAATTCCATCCCCAGGACCCCAGTCTGGGGCTCCACCAGTACCATTCCGTCCAGGACCTTTACCTCCTTTTCCCAGTAACAGTGATGCATTTGGAGCACCTCCACAAGTTCCATCCCGGCCAACACGAGCTCCTCCCAGTGTCCCAAGGTAAGAAACTAAATGCTGATTGGAAAAGAGGTTGTTTGGTTCTCTTCTCCTAGAGTGACAAGACATGGTTTATTTGAAATAGAAAATTGCAAACATTTTCCTGTTTTTGTATGCAATTTTCACACCCCAGAGTAATCCAGTGGGTAAATACTCATAGCAGATCCACATAGGTAAATGAGTGGGCCTGCTATTTGGGCTAAAGGTCATTGTGAAACCTTCAACAATTTAAAATATCTCATCTACAACAGAATTTAATTAAAGAAAACCTGGTCCGTCTGAGTGACACTGTGGCAGCTGCTCATAGGATTCCAGCAGAGGTTGGAGTTTTGTAGGCTCTCTGTCTTTTTTATGTGGAGTGCAGTGCTGTGTGTGATAATTGCACCTTCTCAATTTCCAGATAAATTCCAGAAGGTATCTTTCTCAGGTCATGCAAATAACCTCTGAAGTATAATTTTTTTCAACATCCAAATAATATTTTATCTCAAGCTGCATGCAATTTGTAAGAATAGGAATGCTTCAAAGTTGTAAACAAATATTTACGGTTAGAAATTTTATCATAAGCATAATATGCTATGAGAATAGTCACTAATCTGACAAAAGACATAAAATATTACATTACGATAAACCATTATAACAAATTAAGAACATATTTACATATAGTTATGTTCAAAAATTGTGCAGTATCTTAATTTTAAGGCAGCTAGGTGGCACAGTGGATAGCATATGGGCTCTGGAGTCAAGAGGACCTGAGTTTAAATCCAGTGCAGGACAGTGACTAGCTGTGTGACCCTGGGCAAGTCACTTAACCCTGTCTGCCTCAGTTCCTCATCTGGAAAACAAGCTAGAGAAGGAAATAGCAAACCTCTCCAGTATCTTTGCCAAAAAAGCCCCAAATGGGGTCATGAAGAGTCAGATATGACTGGAACAACTCAACAACCACCTTCATTTGGCATATTTCAAGGCATAAGAAACCAAAGGTTGCCTAGTCTTGGGCTTTTGAAGTAAAAATAATAAATACAGGTAGCACAAAGGGTCCCGGCAGGAAGTGCTACTCTAAAAAAGTTATTGAACTAAACTGTTCCCATGCTTTCTGAAAGAAATAGAACTCCATAAACGTATAACAAAAAGAGAAAAGACTTGAACTTAGATGGGCCAGTCCACCTGTCAAAGTTGAGCACTATTACCTCCCTCTCAGATTAGATGCTTCAGGGGAGTCTTCAAGATAGAAATGGAGCAGTAGGGAGGAGAGATGTGCTTAGTTCAAGGGTCTCAAACAGAACGAACGTGACAAGAAAGACACACACACTGTGGGCTGAGGGTTCCATTTTCCCAGAATGTTTTATTAATGTACCCACATCCCAATCCCCTCCAGGTTGGGCCTGCCCACTTCAAGTTCAGCTGAAATGTTCTTCTGGCATGAGAACCTCAGCAAAAATGTGCAAAAGAATTTCCCTTGAATATAAAAAGTGAGGCTTCAGAACTAATCCTCATAGGAACACACCAGCAATGTGCAGTCTACAAACTGTTGGTTTTGGAGAACTTCAGATGGATAGGAAAACAGTGTCTGCCATTGTGCCATCAGGGGATGGAGGAGGGTCAGAGAAGGGGGGGGAGAGGAGCCCTACCTAGGAGAAGTGAAGGCCAGGATTTTGTCTGGGTCACTCGAAGAAGGAACCACAGCAACCTAGCAATGCCTGGCCTTGGCATTGAACCTGCCTGTCTTGCCTGTCTCGCATGAGTGCTTTACTTCTTGGTTGCAGATAAGATGGCTTGCCAAGAGCATGTCTGAGCATAATCCTTTGAATCCTAAAGTGACTTGTTGAGCTGGGTGGAGCCACTCATGGCATTTCCTACCTCACAGAAAAAGCTGCAGCAGCCCATCATTTCACGGCTGTGCTTGCTGGCAGGGAAAGAAATGGCTGGTGAAGGGGGTCAATGAGTTTAAAAGGCCCTCGCTGCACACACAGAGAAGGCTCAAAAGTCGCCATCAAAGAGAATTCTAGAATGGCCTCAAGATAGATCCACTGTAACCTTATTTTAGGTTGGAGATAAATTCTTGTTTCCCCCCCCCAACAATGCACTTAGTTTTATTAGTCAGCCTGAAGACATAATTAGCTCAAAGCAAAGACTTTTAATGAAATATCATTGTCAGAAAAGAATCAAAAGAATATTTTCCCATAAACCAGGGGGTATTCTCCATTCTTTTTAAAAATAAATTTGCTATTCATTTTTAGCATTCACTTAAAAAAAAGTTGTAAGTGGGTTATAGATAAATTCAATAGAGAATTTACCCTAAAAGAGAAATATAGTTGAATCAGGCAAGTATATGGTTTTTGTTGAGGCTTCCAATTTACTCACCAGTTTGGTGAGTGGAGATGAAAAGCCCTGTGAGGGGCCAAGTCACCTGAAAGAAAGAATATTTCAGGATCCTTATGCCCATTAAAAGTTTAGCATTAGTTGGAGTACCCTGACCACATAACGTCTGTTTTTAATAAAAAGCCAGAACAGGAATCCTAGCAAATGCATGCCAGAAAGGGGGTTTAAGATTTCTAAAAAAAAAAAAAAGAAAGAAAAAAAGGTTGAGGGACATTCTTATTAAAACTTTACTAATGTTTTATTTATTTATATATTCTCTTTTTCCCTGATGAGTATGCCACAATTTTTTTCTACATAAAGAGAAAAATAAAAAAGGCATACGTGCTATTCTTCATCATTTCCAGGACAACAGCAAGTTTAGCTTTCTGAGAAAGAAGTTTCATTTTTCAAGTTCTTTGCTTCACTGAAAGCCCTTTCTTCTAGTCTATCTGAAACAGAAACTCCTAATGTGACAAGGCAGCACCAACACTGTCCTGCCGATTCCCTGCTGCCTTTAATATCGTTACAAAAGCAATAAGTGAACCTTTGGAAGGAGGGGATTCAGTGTGAGCTTCTGCTTACTTTTCTTCTGGACAATCCACCACTTCATTAGCAAGTTATGACCTTGCCTTTTAAAAGAATATACAATTTTATCAAACCTCATTCAGAGTTAATCAAGCTACTTGTCCTTTTAAAGAAACCATGAGTGTTCTGGATCTTTTTTTCTTTTTCTTTTTTAAATTGCTTTCCATTTTGATGTACAGGAGAGGAAGAAGAGAGGAGGGGGAGTAAATTTTGGCCCGATTCTTCCTCTGCTTCTCAAGCTGTTTTGGTTTATGTACACTGAATTTTTCTGTGAGGAAGCGAAAACCGTTGCATGCTGTGTGCTTGCCTTAATTAATCCCACCTGAATAGGGGAGAGTCTATCCCAAGAAAGCTTACAAATGTGGGTGCTGACTTAGTGAGTAAGTTGATTGTGCAGCGTCTGTGATTTGTAAAACATTTTCTGTTGCCAGGAGATCTGGGTTATCCCCTCCTTCCTTACCCTCAACTCTTCTCTGAAGAGAATAAGCCAGGCTGGAGGAATCCAGCTCTATACTTGCTCAGTGCGATGATCTTAAGCAGATATAACTGCCTCTGTAGAGTCCCATCGTGCCCTTGTTCTCCTACTTAAAAATCAGAATCTTCATCAAACACTAACTTTAATTCTCAAAGAGTTATTCTTGGTTACAGCTTCTTAAAATTAGTTTATTGGGAATCGCAGCCTTGCCATTAACAGAACAAATTAACTGAATCAGAGTGTGTTTTTCCTGGCGTCAGCTGATTCTGGCATTCATTCACTGGCTTGTACTCTGCTCCTCTCCCTTTTCCTTGAACTAAGATGTTTTACAACAATCTGAATAGAAGGGTGGGGTATGATGGAGAGGGTCTCTATACAAGGAGAGCAATTCTTCATTTGCCTCATTGCTCCCATCTCCATTTAGTCCACATTAAAATAATAATAGTAACAATTGAAGTGCCTTCTTTGAACAGATCCTAGCCATCGCTTCATAGAAGCTTCTCTAAGCTTGGCTAAGTTGGGCCGTCTCAAAGGATTTACCTCTAGTCCAATTCACTCTTGTTTATCCACACATGGGACCATACAGAATACAGCCTAATCACTACCGGTGTCTAACCATTAAGGCTGATGACCAAATCATGTCCTGTTTCTGATTTGTTCATATAACAGAACCAGAGGCCCACAGCAGAATGGCCCTTTGGTCCCACAGTTATGTTTTAGAGCTACCAAGTTTGAAGAGGAGAGCAAGCCCATTTCATGACTTCACTAAGCTAATTCACTTGGCATGCTTGGTAAAGAGGCCTCACTACAGTCCCACATATTCAGTAAATTAGTCCTTAATCAAGTGATCCCAGAGGAAATCTGATGTAAAGATTTCTGAAGAGACAACAATGTATCGATGTTCCTTTCCCTGCAGTAATGAACTCCAGTTGATTCTACCTTTAGTTTGTTTTGCATGTTATTTAAAAGTTGCTGTAGTATTAATTCAAGTGGCATCTGATGACTTGAAATATCTCTTTTACGTAAGTTAACCATGGGTTTTAAAGATAGTTTACATGTAATTATTTTCACTTAGGGATAAGGTCTCCTTGTTTTGTTTTGTTGTTTGGTTTTTTTTTTTCAGCCAGTCCCCCAAATTTTGAGTAAGGACAAACCCTCGAGTCTTATGAACATGCCATTGCATCCCTAACATTGAGGTTTGGTACCATGGAGGATGAAGCTGCTGAACTTTAAAGTTGTGGGCTAAGGGTACATGCACAGTTGCTTCTGTGACTATCCTGTATTGATTCCTCCTCAATAGGTACACTGGAGTCATTCCTACTCCTCAGCTGCCCTCCACAGTTATGGCTTCTTTTAACAGTTCATTGTCATCTGGACAAATGATGCATTCAGTTCATGATTTCTGGTTTCAACCAACACCTTTCCACTTCCTTAGCTACTCTCCCTGAAAGAAAGAAAGAAAGAAAGAAAGAAAGAAAGAAAGAAAGAAAGAAAGAAAGAAAGAAATAGAAAAAAAAGAATTCCAATTGTTCAGATGGATACCTTTTAAGTTTTAGCCAAATTAAACTTAAAAATAATTGATTAAAGACAAACAATGATGTAGATTTGCCAAGAACGGGATTAGGAACCCAACTTTGATTTGTTCTGTTTCTAATACTTAATGAATCTCCACAAGATTATTGTATAACAGAATTTATGGAACCCTGCTTATAACTGTGTTGCTAGTTTAGCAGTAGCCACCATGATAATTTAGGACCCTATACAACTCAGTATCATAAATATTCATAAATAGAAAATGGGTCATACATTATTCCTTAAAAAGAATGACCAGTTTAGTTTACTCTCCTTTAGGTATATCAGGAAACCTCTCTCTCAGATTCTCATATGGCTATAATTCCCAATATGATATATCAGCCTAGGTGACTAGATAGCTAATTTCATAGTCTTTCCCATTTCAGGTCTTGGTTTCAAAACTTGTTTCAGTCGAAGTAAAATTAGTTTGGTGGTTTCCTTCTTGGGCCTAGAGAGCTTTCTACTTTACATAAATGTCTCCATCCTACCACGATTCAGAATGAGAGACTGCTCATGAGAGGCCCAGGAATAGAACTGCAAGTTTGGGGGAGATCAGAATTAGGGAGCGTCGGCAGATCACTGAGGCTGACTATTTCTCCAGTGTTTTTAAAGGGCCATTCTACATGTTTTTTCCAGACACCAAATGTTGAGGGTGAAGGGAGGAATAGGAGATGACAAAACTATATAGTTTGCATTTCACATGCGTCAAAGCACAAGTCATGTAAATGCAGACAGGCAATGCAAGTGTAACAATATGCCCTTGTTAGCCCAGAGGTAGCTGGCATTGGGTTAACTAAACAGAACTGCTTCCGTGTTCCATGACAAGAATGAGCAAAGAGTCCTTTCATTGCTCTCTTTAGGGGCTCTGAATTGCTGGCTTCCACAAATGGAAGGAAAGCCTTTCCAGAGGTGAAATATTCCTAACCTTGCCCTGCGTCTCACCTGATTGATAGAGGAAGACAGGCAAGGCAGAAGTCTGGCACGGGAATCAGTGACCAGTAGAATATGCATAGTCAAAGATTTATTTTTTTCCCTGTGGCCAGTCAGCAGCAAATTGTCACCAGCTGGAATCTGCTGAATGTTCCTATATACAAGTTGATGTCAGCTTAAAAATAAAAGGCTAGACTGTAAGCAAATGTGTACTGTGGTGGGCACGTCCGATAATGTGATTGCCACAGTTTTTTCTCCCTCACTGCCACAAAAGGATGAATTTACAATTAGACTTTCTGTTTCAGCCAGTTAGAGTTAGCTGTTCTCCAATGAGTTTGTCCAAAACTTCAGTTTCATGGCATGCTAAATTGTAGCCCTTGAACCCTTAAGTTCCATTCAAGTACCAAGCCCCCACAATGGGCAGTCCAAGCAGTCTCCCTTTGTTAGGAGTTATCGCCTATTATGAAAAATTAGAAGCAAAATGTAAATAATGCTTACCGCAGTTGCTTTAACCAATAACGACCAGGAAATTCAAAATGAAAGTTTAAATTCTGGATCCTTCCCTCAAAGCCCTATGTCTTTAGGTGCTTACCTCCAGCAATAAAAGGAAAGAGTTTAAAAAGGACTTGATGGCTTGGTGGCTTTTGTCTGTTTGTCACAATCTTATAGCTATCTAAATGTAGAACTTTAAAGTAGTTGACATCGAAAGCCTTTGGCTTGCTCATGTCTACATATAGTAAGTTTCCTCTGTGGGTGTGTCTGGGTCTAAACACATATTTACACCCTTTGGTTGCCAGATAAAATCCCCCTAGCTTACAGAATAACATGGTCCCAAATAATTTAGTATTTTTTTGCCCTGGCCAGTTGTTTACAGGAGAGGGGAGTGGGTAAAGTTTGAGGGATCTGACTGTATATTGATGCCAAATTACTAGCAATTGGATGAGAGTGAGGGTCACGTGGCTCAATGATCCAAAATTAGAAAAGTTTCTGTAGAGGGCAAGTCTGAAGCCACAAGGTATTTAGGCAACTTCCCAGTGTAGGCAATGTTGTAACTTGGTGTGACCCTTGTTCTTTCCTTTTGGCTGCTCTTCAGGCATCACAGCCACAGGGTGTACAAAAACTACAAAGAATGAGTACTCGAAATTGCTGGATTTAAAAAAAAATGTTCCCACAAAACATCAGTAAACATCCAATGTTGTTTAAGGAGAAGCAAAAGTATTAGAGTTGCATTATTCACATTTACTGTAGAAAGAATATCCCATCCCAGCTGCTCAAAAAGGCTAGTACCTCAAATCCTCAACTGTTCAACCTAAGCAGGGAAAGTTTTGACCTAGATTTGCCCCAATATATAACTTTTAGTCTATGAGATTGTAGCTTCTTTTCATTTTGTAAATTATTTCAGACATTGAAAAATAGGACCAAGATCATTTTCTAATTATTCTAATATAAATCAAAGAGGGGTTTGTAAATGAATGAGAAATGTAAACTCCATCCCTTACCTGTCCTTTGATGGAAAATGGGCCAATAAGGGCCAAACATATGGCAGAGAAAGAGAGAGAAGGATAAACAAGATAACTGGATACTACAGACTAGATAATCAACCACTCATAGGTTGGAATGCTTCAGGGTTTGCAAATCACTGGCCTTACAACCATCTTACCAAATACCACCCTTCCCCTATGCCACCCCCACCCTCTTAGGGCCTGTAATTTCATTGGAGGAGAAAGCTCCCTCTTTCCATGAAGATATCCATTTCTCCCTAACTTAAGAGTCTTAAAGCATTGCCTGAGGGCAATGAGAGAAGTGACTCACAACCAATATGTATGAGGAGGACGGTAAGGACATCTCCAGGTACTTTGCTATCTCTATGATTCTAAGAGAAGCTTTATTCAAATTGTAAGAACATTGGTTATCATCTCATATTTCTGTAATACCTAAGGTTTTCAAAGTACTTTCCTCACAGTGTCTCTATAATGAGTATTAGTATCCTTAGTTAAAGCCACATTCTACACTGTATACAATTTCGTTGGTTCACTTTGAAATTATTCTCAAGATCAATTTTGAAGTGACTGATCTTTTTCTCAAAGTTTGAAGTCAAGGCACTGTCGCAATCGAATCTCTACACAGCCACCAGTAGTTATACCTTTTGTGTTAGTAAATGAAAAAAAAAATGTAAAAATTGAAAAAAAAATTTACCACTACTATTTATAATGACCAAGAGAAAATTTTGCTTTTTACAAGTGATGGGAAATATGAAATAAGTTGAAATAAAGAAATCATATTAGAGAAAAATTCTACCTTACTGATTGCTTTGTGAGGTGGAAAATTAAGGAAGCCACAATATTTGTGCTGGCTGGAAGAATCACTGCAGTACAGTAATTTCCTATTGCCTCCTTGAACCCTAAAAATCACATAAACATAATTTGGAACTGGAAGGGGATCTTAGAGATCGCTCAGTCCAACCTTCTTGTTTCATAGATGAGGAAATTAAGGCCCACAGAGAAGTGACTCTCTCAAGATCATACTAATAGACAGTCATAGAATCAGAATTTGAAAACAAGTCCCTCTGACTGTAATCCAAGGGCTTTCTACACTGCATCATCCTACTTCCAATATACTGACCCTACATTTCAGTTTATCAGGCTATATAAACATGCTTTTTCAGGCATGTTGAGAGTATTGTATACTTTTTTCAAACTATAACATTCTAATTTAAGAAATCTTAATGATTAAAGACTATAACATCATATTGGAAACCCATTTTAAAGGATATTACATTAATAATAAATATACTTGAACAGTTTCCCCATTCTTCCTCAAACTTTGGTTATGTGGTTAAATGCTTCCATTTTATTTTACGTTTTACTATGCAGGGAAGATCATTTACCTTCATTTTGTTGCTTAATTAATATGTGTTCAGCAGTCACAACATTCTAATTGCTTACAAAACCTCTAATCTCAGTCCTCAGGACCTAATACTCTTAAAAACAGAGGTTTACCTTCCCTGAACCCCTAGGCCTTTCCCTGCCACAATGAAATTCTGAAAACAAATCTAATCCCTTGCCCTGTAGAACAAATAATTCCCCTAGTGTTTTCTTGAGAGCCATAATAGGTGTATGAAAGAGTGATTTCTAAGATCCTCTTCCAGTGTCCAAATGGATCGCCAGTATTTGCAGATGCATACCCATAACATCTAAATTTTTCAATCTGTTTTATAACTGCTACTTTTAAAGTCCTTATTTCTTTTTTTGTCTGTTACTTATTCACCCACTACGCAAGAATATATAGTAAGAAAATGATATGTAAAGATTTGAGAAGAGACTAAGAAGTGATCGTAGAGATCATTGGTCCGTTGTCTCCAATGTCAGGGGCAGTCCTTGAGAATATTCTCCTGCAGCCATTTCTCATTTCACCTCCCTGCTTCATTCTTTCCCAGTTCTTTTTTTCTTCGTACCTCAATTCAGTAGCATCTTCTAAAACTCTGGACCCCATTCTTTCTTCCTTTAGTAGCTTATGTTAGTCAGGCACCTGCCTTCTAGCTGCTTTTGGCAGACAAGTACAATGAGATAATGAAAGGCAGAAAATGTCCTAGACTCTTTTTGGCTTCATATAACATCCAACATTATTCAAAACAGGACTTTGTTGTCAGGCCCTGTCCAAAATTGCTTTGAGGTCTGTTGCCCAGAGCTTCTGCAGTCAAGAGGTAATTGTGCAGTGTAATTGTGCTCCTCTTGAAAATTAGAAATTTACCTTACACTCTACATTTACTCTAGGCATACAGAGATTACATTATATTATTAAATTTACTATCTGCATTTCAGCTGTTCTTATCATCTGACCTTTTCTATCACATTGGGGATGTTTAAGAAAATGTTTACATGCAAGATATAAGAGAAAATGAAATTTATTTATAAGTGTTTTGGGCTTCCCTTTCCCAGAGTCCAGCAGGTTTCTCATCAAGGGCCTCCCATGGTCATTGCAGCAATGTTTTTCTGAAAGCGTATTTTGTGGAATATGGCTCCAGGATGGTGGCAGCTTTTGTTAAGTGAGATGCCTAAAAGGCTCCCATATGGTTTTCATTGATTTTGCAGTCTAGACTTGCTTTATTTAGTACTTTGGGTCTGAACTGGTAGAAGTTTTGTAGGCACTTTTATTAAAACAACAACTAAAAATGTGTATATGCTATTAAGATATAAAACAAAAGGCTTAACTTCTTGTTAAAGTCTTGGGTCTAGGAGAGGGAAGTTGGTTGAAAATTTATCACATGCTCACTATTGCCATTCTTCCCTACACCCACCTTGCTCTCACAAAACTGTACAAAAAATAGAAAATGTATAAGGAACATCAATAACTGTTACATTCGTACAATCGATACCATTTTCTTTGGTGGATTCTTTGTGACTAAGATGATAACTATTAGTCAGAAACCTCTGATTCTTTCTCCAGACTCTTTACACGACCCTGGGGACATATGATCCCTGCCCTTTTAGCACTAACTTTTACAAACATAGCATTTCCTTTTCAAAAAAAAAAAGAAAAGACAGAGGGGCCAGCCAGCCACTAAGTAAATGGAACTGAATTCTCTAGAGTTCAGAAGTGCCTTTGCCACATGTTGAAAATGTAGTTTTCAAAGGCTGTTTCTGAGTCTTTTTCTGAGGATTACTTAGAGGCAGCATGACATTATCAGAAAGAAAAAAAAAGCCACGACTTATATTTCTAGATCTGCCCATAAATTGGCCTTTTGCTCTCTGGTAACAGCTAACACAGCAAATCCAGTCCCAGTTTGACTGCATCAGAAAGAAGAGCTTCATGGAGGCAGAGCGAATGTGGGCCATCCTATCTCTACCAATATCATTGCTTCATTTGGGACTAAACATTTAATTGAGCTTAGTCACATATTTATTCACTGACATGGCAGCGAGCAAGGCACACTGCCTTTCTGGGTTTTTTTCTGTTTGCTCTGGGGGGAAAAAAACTTTAAAAAATCTCTTCTGAAGCATGTTAGAACTCCCCCTGCTGGAAATTTTTTAAATTGATGGAATTTCCTTAGAAAATAATCCCCCAAAACCTGGTTCTAACCAAAATCCCATTTTGATCAATATGATACCTCTTTTGATCAATGTAATTTTTTAAAACCACTAAAAGGAAAGAACACTGGGCTAAGGGTCAGAAGCTCGGGACTTGACTCCTGCCTCTGCCACTTATTAGCTGAATGACCTAGGTAAGTACAATGACCATTCATGGGTCCAATCCCACTACTGATCAGCATGGAAGCTTTAACTTGCTCCATTTCCCCAAACTGGACTGGTTTGTCCTTCCTTGGGCAGCCTGCTGGCCCTCTACCCCCAGGGGTTCACCATGGTAGTGCTAAACTTAGTGTGGACACCCCCAATCTGACGCTCAGAACTCCTGAGCTTAATCAAACACCAGCCTCAGATTCTCCCAGCAGCAGGGATCACAGGCATGCATCACCACACCTAAACATGTTGTATTTTACTGGCTGATCATTACTTTCTCAAAATGATAGGAATTAAAATGTTAACTTTATTCAAAATGTGATTTTTATAGCCTCACTATTCTCAAACACCTACCACCACCACCTGATGCAACATGAACATTCACTCTTTCCACATTTGTTGTGTCGCCTAATTCAGTTTAATTGCTGGCTCCTGTACATAAGTATACAATTAGCTAGCTTTTTTCACCAGCCTTCCCTTTTTTTTTTCTTCTTCCTGACATTAAGTTGTCAAGAAATGTTCATCTTTTCAAGATGTTAGCCTTTCCCGGTGATTCACATACCTCATTCTCTGAATCCAGAAACTATCACTACATCAACTAACCATCAAGAAGCATTAATTAAATGCCTACTGTGTGTCAGGCAGTGTGCTAGGTACTGGGTATAAACGAAGACAATAAAGGAAACAATGCCTACTTCTAAGGAGCATGTACTCTAATGAGGGAA